TTTTATATAGCACGTTTTTTTCAAAAAGGTTTTCGGAGCGCTACCAATTGCTGAAAAGACTAATATGTTATTAGTCAAGAAAAATGGTAGTAGAGCTGGGTATTTAAGCTGCTTATTTGTTTCACATTCTCGATTTTACCATGGTTGATTATTATTTACACTATTTTGCGCTAAATATCTAACGGGCATTTTTTTCTGATGATTTTTTATAAATATTAATGATATGATTAACTGCATTGTCAATACTTAGAGCTATTTCATTAGGAAATTCTCTCGAATTGAATTAAACTCCGCGGTAAATAATTGTAAGAAATTCGCAATAGCAGACAAAATTATGTTAGCAGAAGATTGATGACGATCATTAAAAATTAAATCATTATCAGCTGCAATAATGTCGACCTCTAAACTCGGACCAGTATCACCATTAGTACCAACATGGTATATGATAAAAGCCGATGTAAGATCCACTTGACCTTGAGAAATTCTTAAACTTAGCCCTAAATTATTATTTCTTTGGGGATGCTGACATTCCAAATTCAGAAATAGTTTGGCTACTATTGATAACAAAAATCTTTAAGTGTTGTAGGATTTTCGTACTTGTATAAATTACATATAAGCACAAAGATCACAAAAATCGTTTCCTGTGTTTTTAAGGCCAATACATCTTAGAAAGTATAAAAAGATTTGTAGGTTGTGTTAAACCCTGACATTTAATTTTGAAAGTTCAACGATGATTGAATATGGAAAAGTATTCAATTCATTTAAATCAATCCCAGTAACTGATTTAAAGTTCTAACGCGATTTGAATAGTTGCAGATACTTGATACAAATTTACACGAACAAAATTAAGAGTATAAAGGAATAGTCTATAGATATGCGGCTAAATTACTGAAATAATATAAATTAGAATACATACATACTGATATAAATGATTCTTGAGTTTAAAACATTTTCCACTATTTGCACACTGGCTTCAAATAACGCAGAGGCGGTGGGTCCATCACAGCAGCGGTTGAATATTCGTCGCAGAATTGGTGGATAAGATATGGTCGTTTGCTGTTGTTGGTAAGTTTATGAGTTACTTTTACTTTGTGTTTTGACGTTTTACTTAAACTGAGACAAATATACTCTTCCAACTGATTACTCGCGCACAGTGCAATTCATTGTCGTTTATGCAAACACTTCTGTACAGTTCGTCGAGGGGACGCCACTTTTGCCTAATTTTGGTAATAGCACGTACACATGTGTACAAAACTATCACTAAATACACCAGTATCATATCGATTGTATCATACTTGGAACTTTTGGAAATTGTTATTGCCTTTTCATAAAAGAATTTACAAACATTGATTACAACTCAGACGGTGGTGGATTCGACTACTACGCAGTACTGTGGGCCCGATAACATTTATGTCTATTGTGATGGTTTAACTTGAAATATTATGCAGTTTTTAATAGAGTACAATCCATTTCTTTCTTTGACAACAGAGAAACGTGTTTGTTTGACGTTTAAAATGATATAATTATATACACAAACATAATAATACTGCAGTGCGTTTGTTACGACGCCTTTCATTAAATAACTGTAGCGTTTTTATAGATTTTTATAATACTACACGTTTGTAACGTCACTTTTCATTGGATAATCGTGACGTTTATATAGTTTTATATACACGAATGCTGTCAATTTTATAAGAAATCTCACTTTTTTCTCAAAAAGGAGGTTTGCTGTATTATAAATTCATTATAAATATCCCTGACAAGTTATATGACCGTATATAAACGGTTGTTTTCAAAATAGCCCTCGCCTAGTGGCTCTGGTTATATTTTCAAACAGCCGTTTATATAGGGCCATATAACCTGTCAAAAATCTTTATAATTATATACACAGCTGATGTCAGTCTATGAAGATTTTTTTCTCTAAAAAGATAAAAAGATAGATAGCTTGCTGTATTATAAATTTGTAATCAAGAATTTAGGGTTATATAGCCGTATATAAACGGTTGTTTGCAAATATAACACTAGCTAAGCCGCTCTGCAACAAACGACCGTATAACTTGTCAAAACCCTTTATAATTAATATCATAATACTGTGCAAAAATCCAATGAAAATCGACGTAACAAACGTGAAGAATTATAAACACATATTTGCAGATTCAATTTTTTTTCAACCGGACGATGACGCAATTTATTTTAACGAACGATATGTCAATGGGGAATTTCAGTGAATGTTTGATGAACTTGATTTAGAAATCACGGAAAATGAAATATTACGCGCATGCTCAGAACTTAAGAATCGTCGTTCCGGAGGATCCGACTATTTTATAAATGAATTTTACAAATACGGAATTAACTCGCTTCTACCATATTTACTCAAGCTTTTCAAAAAATTACTATCACAAGGTTTTTTCCCCCAAATGTGGTCTGAATGTTTCATAATACCTATCTATCAAAAAGGAGATAATAATTCACCGGAAAATTACAGGGGAGTGACATAACTAGTACCCTAGGTAAAACTTTTTTCAAAAATACTTAATACACGTCTTAATTATTTATTGTTAGGGATAATCTATGGTTCAAGCTAATAAAATTAGGAGTCAGGGGAAAAGTAATGCAAGTTTTGAACTCTATGTATACGAACGTCAAATCCAGAATTAAATTATCAAATACATTGAGCGAAACTTTCATGTGTTCATTAGGGGTCCGTCAAGGGGACAGCTTGTCCCCTTTTCTCTTTTCTATGTACATAAATGACTTAGAAGATACTTTTATATTAAAGGTTTTAAAGGCATAGACTTAGGTACTCTGAAATTGTTCTTGTTATTATACGCGGACGACATTGCTATTATATCGTAAACAAAAGAAGATCTTCAAAATGGATTAAATATTTTAAAAGATTATTGCGACGAATGGAAACTAAAACTTAACGTTAATAAAACAAAAATAATGGTTTTTAAAAAGAGAGGGAGAAATCAGCAGAATTAAAGATTTTTATATGGAAATACAGAAATTGAAATAGTAAATAAATTCACATATTTAGGAATCGTTTTTACAGTTGGAGGGTCATTTTCAAAAACCTTCGAAACACTTTCAGGACAAGCATTGAAGGCAATTTTTAAACTTAACTCTTATATGCAAAACTTTCCTAATATCTCAGTTTCACACACACTCGACCTTTTTGACAAGTTAATAACACCTATTTTAAGCTATGGATGCGAGGTATAGGGTTTTATGGAAGCAAAAAAGATAGAAAATATACATTTGAAATTTTGCAAAAAAATTTTAGGAGTAAGGCCACAAACTCAAAATAACTTTGTTTATGGAGAATTAGGCAGAGAACAATTAATACAGCTTAGAATGATACGAATCTTAAAATTTTGGCTTAAAATATTGAAATCGGAACAACATTTGTACATTAAAAAGTTTACAATATGATGATATTTAATATAGATCACAAACCAAATTATACATAGTGGGCTAATTCAATTAAACAATTACTTCAGAGACTAGGCTTTTATCAAGTTTGGGTAATCAGGGAGTGGGAAATGAAACTTTATTTTTGAACTCGGTAAAACAGAGACTTAAAGATAACTACATGCAAAACTGGACAGAATCTCTACGCAATTCATCAAAAGCTTCCCTTTACATTCTTTTTTCTAACTTTAATTTTAAATTGTATCTTGAACAAATTAACATTCAGAAATTTAGAATAGCATTAACAAAATTTTGAGTTTCAGCACATAGGCTATTAATTGAAACAGAGAGATGGCATAAACCAAACAAAATTCCAAGAAATGAAATAAAATGTATAATATGTAACAAACTCGAGGATGCATACCATTTTCTATTAGAATGTACTTTATATTGTGAAATAAGAACTAAGTTTTTTACCAAGGTACTACTGGAAAAGACCAAACATACCTAAATTTATCGAATAAATGTCAAATGAATCGACTACTATGATAAGAAAACTGTCCACTTTTATTTAAAAAGCTTTTGAAATCCGTACACCGATATACTTTTCTTAAAAAATATTTCTATTCACACTTTTCTCCTACAAGTCATTTTTACAAGTATATATTTATTATCTGTTTTGTTTAATCATTCAATACTTAAAAATATACACTTTATATGTTAGTGTAATGCACATGTGAATTTGATTATTAGTTCATGTTATATTATGCAATATTGAATTAAATATAAAGTTTCTTCTAGTAAAACACACATATTTATATGTGATTGTAATATATTTAATCACAAGTTCAGGTTGTATTGTGAATTATTAAGTTACTTTCGGTTAGAACATAATGTAATCTGTCTTATTTATTTTTTATTTCTTAGTGGTGTTTAAAGGCTTTATGCATGGAACACAATTAATTCTATTAAGAATTGTTACATAAAATGTGTACCTTAAACTAAAATATAACATGTCTTTTAGAGATTGTTATATGTCATTGTTATATGTGTCACCATTGACCTATATTTATTATAAAATGATTGATTGTATACCATGACACTCATGGGTTTGTAACCTTTTGTGAATAAAGATTATTTATTTATTATTTGCAGAATTAAAGATGTTCAACATATATTCTTTAAACTTTGCATGATGTTAGAATATGTTAGAATAACAGAAACATTTCAAGCGGAAAACGTAGGGGTCGCCGATCTCTTTTTCTGCACGTGCATTTGATTTTTTTTACTTTGAAATGGGGTTATCTCAGAGGTAGGGAACGTACATATACGTCTGAAAAATCATTTTTATTTTTTGCTATGTTTTTCAGTTTATTTATACACATTAAAAAATCACATTCAATTCCCCAAACTATTTCTGTTATCTGTTTTTTTTTCAATTTCATTAGAGTGACTTTAAATTCTTTAAAAATATACTATTTTGAAACCATAATCCATTTTTGAAAGCATCTTTCACCGATGAATGTCACAATGTAAAGAAAAAAAAGAAAGAAAAATATCTGCCCTTTATCTGCCTATAATAGATTTTATTTACTTTTCGTATCTTCCCTCGAAACTAGCAAATAAAACAACAAAAATCAACAAAAACAGTCATATTCAGGAGCAGATAAACTTGAAAACGAGATCGGTGAATGGTTTTCTCTTATGAAATGTTGCACCTTTTCATTATCCCTCATGTACAGACTTAATCAAATCGCAAAATTAATCTGTCCTTATTACGCCTTCGGTAGAAGTATGATGCAGAAAATCAATAAAAGAATATAATAATCTTTGAAAAGATCTGAAGTAACGATCATTTACAAAAAAAAAACATACCGTTTAATATCTATTTTGATAAATCATCACGTTTAAAAAACGTTAAAAGAATAACACTGATTAGAGATTAACAAAAATGGCAGACGAGGCATCGAAAACACTCCGAACACTTAAAAATAGGTTGAACAACACTTATTAATTCGAATCTAATTAACGGTAAAAATACATACATTTACTCATTATTTACAAAGTCAAAAAAAGATCATGCTTATATATGAAACACTTTATGCTTGTAATTAAATGATAAGGGCTTTCCACATCATAGAAAGCACCATATTTCATATAATAAATGTATACCTCTGATAAAGAGACGTTTGTGAAAACCAATTTGGCAAATTGATGTTGTTTGAAGTTTACAATCCATTGTAGATTACTGTCCAAAATTGTCCTGAAGGGGTAACTTAAGGACGTAATAATAGAATCTGTATCTACGTATTGTACGTGACCAAAGTACAATCCATCTTTGCGTTTAGCTCTCGGGAACGACACCACAATTCCTGTTTAAATATAACAAGCATAGCCTAAATAAAAGCTTATATAGAGACTCATATGCCTGAGTGATAGGGTTTCTCAGGAATTGTCATTGCATCATAAAGACAAGCTTAAGACAAGTCTAGCAAAGCGTAAAGGCCCGGTGTATTACATTTAATTGAGAACATTAGTTTTAGTATTTGTCTTCATAACTTAATGAAAAGAAGCCGGAATCAAGCAATTGAAGGAAAAGTTAAAAACCGCGACTTGAGCAAAGTTCAATGTTAATCAGAAAATTTCATACAGTATATTCTGATCAATCCATAAACTTATATAGTATATTTTGAAATAGATAACATTTATACTAAACTTACTTCAATAATGCGAAGAAGTATTTAGGAAACATTTATTTAAATTGTGTTATTCACAAGGCTTATGCTTTAAATCATTTACTAAGATCTATAATATACACAAATTAATTGTTCTACCACTTAAATCATAATACAGTTCTGATTATCATAATACTTATACTACATGCTGATGTATCTATGTTACATCTGAAGGTGGCCATAAGCAATAGTCTCTATAATTATATCACACAAGCGTATGAAACATTTACCTGTACTGTTGAAAAAATACTTTATTAAGAAATGTTAACATACCAATGTTTTGTAGTTTGGCAAAACAATGCCCACCATTGGTTATATCCTTACTTTTCCACAATCCAAACGGACTATCCATGTAGTGATTACAAAGTCCGACTGGTTCGATGGATCTATTTGTTTCGAGATGTTCGTTATTCGTTTCATTATAGTCGCCATACGAACCAAGGGGTTGGTCATATACATATTTGTTTGACGATATATTATAACTGGCAACACTGCAATTGTTTTGAATACTGCAAAGTTCAACACATCTCGTTAGATTTGTATTCAAGACAGTTGAATCTCCAGATAACAATTCATGTTCAAGAGGCAGCATTTCAGATGATTTGTTGCTGTTGATGTCAGTTATACCTGTAAAATGAGAGTTGTAAATCTAAACTGATTAAAAATTATCATAGAAAATGTATTGGTAATTTTAGAAAAGTAAACACTTTATATTGCGTCAAGATTTACTCGGAAATTTAAACACAATATAAACATGTTTCGGATTAAGCACGCGTAAATTTTATCTTTAATCGATATTTTTGTTACAATCCATTAATAGTTAACATGACACAAACATAAATTGTCAACTTACGTGTCAGTTTACAGCCGAAAAATTTGAAATTAAGACATTTTGATCTGCTTGTTGACTTTTCAAGTGAATGTTGGAATTTTGCGTATCTCCCATTGATTGGTCTGGGTAGAATGAACACTTGATCTATATCTCGCCAGTTTTCAGGTTTGAATGTTCTAAATTCCTGAAATAAGGAATCACCAGTTCACGTGTTTGCTAATGTGTTTTGGCTTTATTCTTCGAGGTCATAGTACAAACATGTACATCTACATTCTTTTTGACAATTGGTTTGGTTTTGATAATGTAAAAAGGCTGATTCATAACGTTTAAAAACAATATAAAAATTTATATTGAGATAAACCATTAGAAATGCAATGACAATTTCTCAAACTATGAAAGTATGGCTAAACATGAAGTTAATGGGTATATGTGTTTTGTAATTAACAAACTGCAAATTACGATAAGAACTGTGGTACACTTTAATGCACCGGAGAAGTGTGTTTGACTTTTATTACTTTCTGAGGCAGAACTCTCCTATTCTAACACCAACAAAAAATAAGTGACCTTAGATACACATTTGCCGCATTGTCCTGTTCTTAAAATAAATGCAGTCAGATTACCTTCATCGCTAAACTGGTAAGTTCCCACGGTGGTGATCACTTACCCTTGATTCTATTCTGGAACAGTCTATCGCGGGGAAATGTTTAAAGTAATTATGCATAAACGTACATATCAAAACAAGAGAACAATGGACACAATTGTTTGGATTTAAGTAACCTCATATTATAACGTAACAATGTAAACATAATTCACAATTTACACGCAGAAATATGTTTGATGTTTCAGGTGAAACACACGTTTAGAGGTCATACAGCATTTGAACTACAATTTAAAATACTGACACACATTTAATAAATAAATAAATTAATTAATGAATGAATAAATAAGCACTACTATTAAAGTTATCTGGAACATTTACAATGGATAAAAACTATATGTATTAAAACTGCATGCCGCCAGATGAGCCAAAATATTTCAAGAGAATCAACCTTGAAAAAATGTTCTAAGACTGTTTTTTAAAGTAAAAATATTTAAAATCAAATTAATTATTTTCATGTGATAGACAATTAATGTCTGACTATGCAGTAATAATCACGAAATCTTTACTGTGTGGCTATCACAGAAAGGACTATTTTTGCACATTCTGATCTTAGGCTAATCTTGGTATTTTTCAAAGATTTAAGTGTCATTTGCAATGTAAAAATTACTTCCTTAATACACGTGACATTATGTCTCTTTTAGTTTCATGAAAGTTAGTATGAATCGGGAGGCATGTTGCTTTAAAATGAATACTTTTGTTTTGTTATTGCTTTTTAAAATGTGGTTTCACAAACGAAACGAGTATACCATGGCCTTGTATAACTGTAATGTATCCTTATTGTTGCCGAAATATAAACTGAAAGTCGTCCACATGTCACATTCTTTCGAATCGTAAACGCCAACTCCTTCTATTGTTGTAACATCAATTAAATCCACCTAAATTGATAAAGATCATGTGTACTAAAAGTGTTGACATGTGTCTGAATTAATTTTAATTTACAAATAAGGTATCTGAACAATATGTATATATTCTTACAAACATTTTTGAGTTGCAGAAGTATATTTCAAGTGCATCAGAAAAAATACTAATTGTTCAAACCCATTTCCTACCGCTTAAACACTTTAGAAGAAGCGATTCCCTGGATTGTACTTATAGTTATGAAGTGTGTGAAATCAACAGTAAAAATGATTTCTTATTATCTTACGTTTTGAAAAAAGTACTGCGATGAACTAGTTTAAAATGTGTATAGATTAAATGTGTAGATTGTTTAAATAGTTGTGACGTATTTGAATCTCTTTCACATCACGCTCTAATAAGCTCATTTGAATTAAAATTATGAATTTAGGATTACATCTGCACAGATCTTAATGCTTCTAAAAAGAGATATTTGCGATATTTGCATCAATCACCTCCTTATTTTCAAAATCGGAAAGAGATTGTATTATATAAATAACATATTTATAACAATTCATTCATACATAAATTTTCCCTACATGTTATAAGCTAGTATAACTAAAATATTTTTTATCCTTTTATCTCACAGAAAGATTAGTTTCACAGAAAGACTAGTTTCACAAATACAATAAGTTGTAAATAGTAAAGGAAAAATTATTTAATAGAGATATCAAGTTGCCAACAAAATCTGGGCATATTCTTTAAAGTAAAGGAAAATGTAAGCATCATTATTTCTCATTACTTTTTAATTTACTTACATGTAAGGAGGTAAGAAATAATTTTTTCTAGTCAAGTAAACAGGCAGGAAGAATGGCATCTCAATGCTTCCACATTGAAAATGTTTGAACGTGTTAATAAATAGATGCAATAAAATACTCACTTCGTCTTAAAAGTATTGCTCAATGCATTATCGTGTTTTTTTATTAGAGAATATTTTTACATGAATTATACAAACCAAAACCCAAGGTGTCAGATCTGTAGCATCATGAATCCAACCAGTAAAGATAGTGTTTGTATTTGTAGGTATTTGTGTTGTGGTTCCAGAAGAAACAATGATCTGACTGTTTGGTACCTGTTTGTCGTCTATTTCAATACTTTCAAAACATGGCTCACCATTTTCTACAGACAAAGCATTAGAAGTCTTATACAAACAAATACATACTAGTATTCAAACAAAAACAAAACATTTTGTTAAAAGGTTTGCAACAGGTACAATTAATGATTTGCACTGTATGATTAATGAAAAATCATTGAAAATAAAGTATTGATTGAATACTTGGATAACGCCAGTGTTCCATATCATACTAGAAGTTAACAGTATGCTTTGAGGTTTCTTGGTCTTAGAATGACATATTGCCAAAATCATTTCAGGCAGTAATTGAAACACGTAAACAAATAACTAATTGGCGGCATTACAAAGTGGTTAACACACGAACGTTAAAATGTTTGCCGCCTGGGTCAAACCTCACAAGTGACAAGCCATTGAGTCTGTTAGTAAGAAACTTTAAATTCATTTTTTTGTACTGGTTGGTTCCAGGAACGGATTCCAGGTTGTTTCAATACGGTTAAAGCTTCAGAAAAATCTAATTGAATTAGGCAGAAGTTCTTAAAACTTAATTAAATCATTTTATCCCAAATTAGAATATTCAAATGTTAACCTATGAAATTTGTTAGAAAATGGATTCAAAAGTAATCAAAATTTTCAGTTTATATGTTAAAATACTTATTTCTTTCGAATTTGATATTCGAAGTTATCAATGGTGAATCATTCATGCTTCTTTTAAGTTTCATGAAGTTTACTTACGTGCTTCTATACTCGATACATACACCTGAAATGTCATGACGCCTGTTATGTGTACATTCAAAGCAAATGTAAAAAAACGACCTCGTGTTCTCCTGCAATTTAATAGTTCAATTTACATTAAAATTCTTTTGCCATATAATTCGGAAAAATAGAAGAAAATAGTTAAGAAGCGCATTTAGAGACCGTACGATAGAATCTTTCCGGTTTTTCGTAGCGGAACATTTAGCAACACCTTTTCCATTCATTGCTAGGTTAACTACAGTATCACAAATCATAAGCACGTGTTCTTTTGTGCAAACCAGGTCAACCAGTGACTATGTTTTATCTCAGTGTAGCAATTGGATAACAAGTTAGCTAATTTACATAAAACTGTAAACACTGGAAAGGTCCATTCAAAGATATGCGAACAATACACAATTTGTTGACTCTTACATCCGGTCATATCTAGGCTACAATTGCTTCATATATCTTGAGAGACTGCTCTGTGGTTTTGATATATTGTGCTATGATTTTAAAAAATTGATGTTGCCGTTTTGTTTAATGACTCTGTCCTTTTGATAGATGGCATATCTTAAGTATCTCTGATAACATGAAGACACATTAGCATGGAAAACATGCCATCTTCATTCATCAAGTATATGAACGGTTTTAGTTTGATTTATTTCACATAGATTATCATCACACAATGATGTTTAAATATTGCAGCAATTAGGCTTGTGATGAAACAAATGCGTATGAAACGTGTCATATTTGGGCAATGATTTCTCAAATCTCTCTTGGCGAAAACCACGATGTTATCATTATTCCTGACTTTGTTCCTTACACAAAGAAATGTAACCAGTGTTAAGCTGCCAAATTGATTGCGGAATAAGAGTGCATGCGATTGTTCTTTTTACACCAACGGAGCCTTTTTCACGGTATCAAAAGTAAAGCACTTATTTTGATAATACCCGTTCTTATTATGACGCTAAAATTACACCTAAAATAACGCGACAGGTTTCATCCATATCAGCTTATTTTTGATTTAAAAAAAACTACGACAATGCACAAGAAGAGAAATGACGTCAATCTAAATATACAACTCATTCATAGCGGTGGCACAATGACGTATTTCTCAAGTGACATGGATGGAGAATTAATATATATTTATTGGACATCGGTGTGAAAAACCAAAATAATCAGGTCTAGTACGTATGTTTAAATTGTTGAAAATTGATAAAATCATTCTTAAAACTAGAAATGTGTCATCATGCCACGGATGCCCCCGCATGCAGCCAAAATTTCAAATGTTATAATATTTAGTTCCAAATTTGTTTGCACAAATTATTTTTTTCATTCTAAGTTCAATGTTAACACAAACCATTTTTATACAATGTTCAAGGCACTGAAATTATTCAGTCTTAACCTTTTAAAAATAGCATATTGCATATTTGTAGCCAACATAATGGCTATATACATTTCCACAGAAGTATGAGTGCTGAAACTGAAAGTTCAAAATTTTTCCAACATTCAGGAAAGATAAGTTTGTCTAAAATCATTGAACCACGACCAAATTCAAACTTAAACTGCTTATTCCTAAGATGTATCTATATTATTTTTCAAAGTGAAAGGACATAACTCTGCCAAAAAATCATCGAACCATGACCAAATTCCAACTTGACCTGCGCATTCCTTTGACATATCCATATGTCAATTTTGAGTTGAATATGTAACACTGTTGGGTTGATAATGAACAGAAACTGTAAATTTCATATCATTTTCAAAGTGAAAGGGGCATTACTCTGCCAAAAATCATTGAACCATGACCAGATTCGAACTTGGTCTGCGCATTCCAAAAACATATCCATATGTCAAATTTGAGTTTGAATGTGTAATATTGTTGGGAAGATAATAAACGGAAACTGAAAATTTCATATCATTTTTAAAGTGAAAGGGGCATAACTCTGCCAAAAATCATCGAACCATGACCAAATTTGAAACTGACATGCTTATTCCTAAGATGTATCTATATTATTTTCAAAGTGAAAGGGACATAACTCTGCCAAAAAATCATCGAACCATGACCAAATTCCAACTTGACCTGCGCATTCCTTTTGACGTATCGATATGTCAAGTTTGAGCTAAATGTGTTGTACGATTGGGGAGATAATGAACGGAAACTGCAAAAAATTTCATATTATTTTCAAAGTAAAAAGGGCATAACTCTGCCAAAAATCATCGAACCATGACCAAATTTGAACTTGACCTGTATTTTCTCATGACATATC